GAGCGAAAGAGAGAGAGCGAAAGAGAGAGAGCGAAAGAGAGAGAGAGCGAAAGAGAGAGAGAGCGAAAAAGAGAGAGCGAAAGAGAGAGAGCGAAAGAGAGAGAGAGCGAAAGAGAGAAATAATTTGTGTAATTTTTGAAATAACAAGAAAATACAGAGAAATGACGTTTTTGTCATAATGTATGGTGCATTTAGCACTGTCTGCACAAAAAGCTTGAAGACAAATTTGGGAGTATTTTTCGATATTTTTTTATTTTTCTTATATTTCATTCTAAATTACGAAAAATCTATTAATACTTTGAAAACAATAATATGACATTAATTAGAGAACTAATTGTGGAGAACAAATTTCATTTGTAGAAAAAATCGCTATCTTTAATATGTGGTTGTAGGAGTTCGTTGAAAAAATCAAACTTTCGTAATTTTCGCAAATTCATTGATAACAGGGAAAATCCGACATATGCCATTATTTAAGCATATTTTACTTTTTTCTTACAAAAACTTTAAAGAAAAAATTGAGAGCCATTTTTGAGAAAATTTTGAAAATATTCCAGGAATTTTATGTAAAGGACCCCATTTTTGTCGCCGAGATTTGAGCCAGGCCACATCGACCAGTTCGGTTAGGAAAAAATCTTTCTGATAGTTTAGGCACTGGTTTTGTTCAGACTGACGGGCTGATGTCTTGGAGAAAAGAACAACTCTCTTTCGGTATTCTGAAAGATTAATCCGGACACTGGGCAAATGAAAGTGATGAAAACGCGAAAACGCCACGCCACCCCTTGCGATTGAAACCACAAGGGAATTGAGACATAGGAAGATCACAAAACAAATGGCAATAGAAGGAACTCTGGGAAATCTAATAACCGAGAATACCGCACTAAACGTAGTTGGTAAGGTTCAGGTTAGTTCAAAATTATGATGATAATGATGATAGTTTTTGTCAAAAATGACTTACTGAAGGGTGGTATTTTCAGCCAATACAATGTTTATTATTACAGCATTCGATGTGACAATTATATGCTTGAGGAGTCGGAATCAACAACTCCCTATATCTCACGTTGTATTACTTTACAACACATTGCCTGATAACATTAAATAATTAAAAGTGATGTACGCAAGTTTAATTGCCAAGTAAAATCTTTTCTGCTGCTTAATTGTTTTTATACGATTATATACTATATTGAGTATCAAAAAGGAAATATTTGATTTTAACAATGTTATTTAGCGTATTAGTTACCGGGCATGTAATCAAATATGCATAATAAAAGGCTAAAATATTAATGTTTCAGATATTGCAATCCTACCTCAGCTCCCAACATCTCGATAAGGTTTTTTGTCTTGCTGACCTGATTCTTTGAGCAAATGTTGAGATATCCTCTTGTTTTCTTTCTGGACATAAATACGTATGCATAGGTTCACTATCTGTGCACATTTTCTTGAGCTCAGTGAAGAATATAGTAGTTACAGTTATTCAAATACTTGTTCTCGATGTTGTCGTGACAGAAACCGATTCCTTCACAAAAGGCATTGCCTTTGCAAAACGTTTTCAAAACATAGGAGCGCATTCAAAGCTTTGCAAAAAGTTGTACTTTCTCGAATACTGCAATGCAATCGGTAGAGACAGCTTTGAAATGTAGAAAAAAAGTCGACAGAAAAATTGTTTTTGCCGGGTCCTGTTAACAAAAAAGTGGATAAACTTGTTCCTATAAGTAGTAAATTAATTTCTATAATACGTAGCATATTCAGAAAACACATTAGGTCGGCCCTTTATACCGAAAACGGCATTTCGTCTGTGAAAAACGCTAGCGGCTAAATCGGTAACAGGATTTCCACCAAAATTGATAAACCACGATCGATTGGACTGATGTCTCGGCCCCTACTATTTCAAACGAATTGACACACGGACGGATGGACATACAGACAGACATACCATTATTTTTAAATATCAAGGACCCACAAAGATAATTTATTTTCGAGTATCAAAGAAATTTATTGACTGTCATGTCCACTATTGTGTTAGAAGTTAGGTACGTATTATATATTTTTCGTTTAAACTCAATGTTGTACTTGAAAACTTATCACCACTTTTAACTTCGACTGACCGTGATGGTTTAGAGTGCCAACTGAGTGCACAAGGTGGTGAATAAATATTTTTGACAACCTTAAGCATCTGCACCTCTCATTAGTATACGTCATTACTTTATTTCTTTTTGGATACTCTCTCTAGTTCCTAAAATCCTAACAACCTGGTTCATTGAATAACCCAATAGAATTAATTTTGTCTCTAACACATTAAACTGTAAAATTAATTAATTTGAAAAAAACAAATTAAAACTGTAAAATAAAGATGTAAAAAGTCAAGTTTTACTTCATTTTTTCCATAAATAATTTAAAATGACATTTCAAGACATTGTAAATCACCAGATGATTTTTCTCAAATATTAGGCTAGCATTTACAATAAATGCTTGATCTTACGAGTGAGGACACAGAAATATTATTAGCATCGCTTGATTATTTTGTTATCCAGGGCACGTAAATTGATACATTCATTAGTCCTGTAAGTGTAGTGCATGTTTTTTTATTATGCTTATGCAGAGTTCTTCCCTTCATTGTATCAAGTAGAATGAAATAAACCCTAGATTATTGCCACACAGAATAAATATCCTGTCACCTCTGAAATGCTGCTTAAGAAAGATTACAATAGGCAGAGTACTTGAGATTTCTCAGCCTACTGATATGTTATACCATTCCATATATTTTGACATTTCATATAGGTTTTTAAAATAATTCTGTTTTAATAGGTTTTATAAGCAACACTAAACATGTAAACCAAGAAGTTATTTACAACACTCATAAAAGACTATTCCATTCTTACATGATCCTTGAGCCATTGGTCACAAAACTCAAATTTCTACCAGAAGACTCATGAAATCATTATTATAATCTGCAATCCTTTTTTAATACTTTAAATTATTGCTGCTTTGAAGTGTTAATTGTTTTTACTGTTTTTTAAAATAGATTTAAAGGGCATTGTAATTATTCAATTCGAAACTAAAGGAAAAGGAGAGTATAAGGTAATATAAGAAATCAAAATAAAATAAATATTGATGCCTTCTCTACTGCTATATTTTTTTCCATGAACTAGCTTATGCAGCAAGAGTACATGTGAATAGTAAAAAATCTTCTTACAATTATAGCAAAAAGAAATTACAATAACAGCTTTAGCAAATAATACATGTATAAAAAGGCAATATCAGAATATGTCTGATATTACTACAGGCTTTAGAATGCTTTACAAGCAAACAAGAATGACTACACAGCAAAATATATGTTTTATAGAAACTTAAAATAAAAAACAAAAAAAATGGCTAATGTACAATTGTTGATATGATGCATTCTTGTAGTCCCAGTTGTAACAACCTAAGGGAAAATTTAAGGGAAACAATATCACACAGGCCAAGTGAGACTTGCTCTCACACAAAACTAAACAAATACACCAAGGCTATGGCCTCCTAAGGAATCTAATAATGCTGCCACTAGTCAACTAAGCTAATGGTCTATCTTAAAAATAAACCTAGTAGAAGACTGTAAGACGGCATTTATTCGCTATCATCTAATTTACATATAACTGCTCACGTAAAATATACTGTTTACACAAATAATCTGTCAGCATGTACAATATACCCACACCAACATAGCAAAAAAGTCTTCAGAGATTCACTTTAAAAAATTCAAGTGTTTTACACTCACACCTCGCAGAAAGTTGCTACTCTCACTTCTGCAATATCACAGATATAAGGCACTTGCCTGTATATAGTACAAAGTAAGGAAAACCTGGAGAACTTGGTGGAAAAGTATTTTCATCAGCAACAACATAATTAAAAAAATTGATTATTTATTGAAATTATACACCATGTTCTAGGCAGTCACTAAAATACTCTCATATAAAAACCCTTTACTACAAAAATTGAGCCATATATAGCCAACAACAGCTAATCAATCCAAGTACCAAAGGTTTTTCATTATTCATTGCAAAAGGTCGTCATGAGAAGCTCGGCTTCTATAGGGTCATACAGATTGCATCACTTGACGCATGCAGTTCATGACAAACTGGCTCTTGCCCTGCAGGTTGCCTTCCTTCGTACTCATATCATGCAAAGCGTTCTCCAGTGATACCACAGCTCGCTCAGAAAACGGCTGTCCCCTCAGAGAAGTAACCACGTCTACTTCTCCATGAAAGCCATTGGTTGACAATAAACCAGGTGGGAGCTTCAGAGTTACGTCATCTATAATTCCTTTATTCACTTCCAAGGAGACCTTCAGCTCTTGAACACCCATTTCTCCCTCTCCCAGAAATTCCTTAGGTACACGGAAGGATTTATTCACTTGAAATTTTGGAGTTTTTCCAAATCGCCAATCCCAGCTGGAGAGCTCTTCTTTCAATTTGTTAAGACCTGCAGATATTCAAAGTGAAATTATATACATTAAATGGTACGCAATTTTACTGAGAAACTAAATTCTATTTTACATGAGTAATTCGGTAATCATTATTTCATTTAATCAAACAATCACACTAATTTACTCTTTATATTTTTTTAAATCTATACTAATAAAAATAGTTTGGATACAGAAAAAATTGGTATTAATAATTGAGGAAAGAATTTCTCCTTTTAAATATTGATGTTTTATATAAATGATATTTTGCATTACCTGGAAACCAATTATCTGTTGGATTAATGAGCTGAAAACCTCTCTGTTTGTTGATTAAATCCTGGCCACCGTCTTCGAGAGTTTCAGGACAAGTACGCAAATATTCCCAACCAACTGCTCCTAACATGCGTTCCACTTTCACATGTTGATTGATTTCACATAAGTTCATGATGGGTGAAGCCACACTTTGGGTAGCATTTGTTACAATTCCCTTCTGAAATTAACAGAAAAAAGTGAGTAAATAACAATTTCCATTTTAAAATGACAAAATAAAAAGAGAATTGATGTATGACAGGCATAGTAATTAGACAAAAACTCATAATAGAATACATAAATTGAATTGAAGAAAAATATCAATAACTTTCAAGTATAATAAATGGGAACTTTTCTTTCAAGATGAAAGAGTAAATTAACATTATTTTCTTTGAACATCTTGGTATCCAAAAATGAACATTATCAAAAAATACTACACTAACAAGTGCTGTTGAGTATTTTTCTTGGAAGGAAATAAGTGTCATTCACAACCTGTGGCCATGTAAAAAGTAAGGTGTAAATATTTCTAATTGTACCTTCCTTCTTGAAGTATCTTTAATTCTCACACAAATATCAAAATAAGAAATTATTTTCAAATCAATTCATTTTTCAAAAAGAGTACCATAGTTAAAAATATAGAAAACGATGTACTACATACAATTCCTATAAACTGTTGACTTCAATTATTCAGCATTGCAACAACATTAGAGCAAAGTCCAACAATCACAAAATGAAGTTGGAAAAGTGCCCATTTGTTTGACCTATGACTGCATAATCTGGCAAACTGATTGAAGTAGTGTTTCTAAGCAACATTTCACTTTAGAGCAAAATAATGAGGGACAAACATTTTTGAATTATTATGACATCTTTCACAGAAAGGTTTCTAAAGTCATGAATTATGAGATCAACATTCATATGGCAGAGAACAAAAAGTTAAAGGGAGGAAACCATCACCTACAGGTAATACAGCAATAAAGCAACCCTTTGAGCAATATGCAATGTTATGCTGAAATATAACTCACCAAATTTTGTCACTGAACTGGATATTGATACTGGATAAGACTTGAATTTAATGTTAATGTGCAAGAAAATGTATAAAAATTAACATTTTCAGATTGGATTTTTTTAACGCCTATTTAACCCCCCAAAAATTTTTGTACACCTTTGATTTAAAATAACATTCTACAGTGACATATACTGACAAAAAAATCAGAATCCTAATTTTCTTTTAAATAATATAAATAAAATACTAGAAAACTTACATCTTCTTTGTGGAGAGACTGGCGAAGAGCTACTTTGTTAACGTCAACCAACAGAGTGCAGTGATGGTAAGCATTGGGTCGACCTAGTTTTGCAGCGGTGCCAGAAATCTGCTGCTAGTGTTAAAAAAAAAACTCTTGAAAATGTGAATAACTTAATGAATACTGATCTTGCTCAATTCAATTTAAAGAAATGTTCCTCAAATCATTAACATGTAATCATAATTTATAAACATTTTTAAAACAAGCCCAGCCTTGTTTAAGTATACAAAAACAACTAAGGGCATTTTTGATAAATATTTACGAGTTAATTCTGACCCGCTATTAATTGACATGAATACAAGTTAAAAGAAAACTTTAACAAAATTTGAATTAAGATTAATTAACTTCATACACAATCATAACAGTAATAATCTTTCATAATTGAGAAAAGGATACTTTGTAGGTGTTTTTCACAACAATATCTTCTCTTGGTGTTATTACCGATTCAATACCCCACTCTCTGAAGAGGGCTCGAGACACTATCTCCAAGTTATTCCTGCGGTTGTACTCTTCTCTCTTGGTAAAGAATGTGAGATTAAGGTTGCCTCTATCATGATACACAGTGCCACCACCACTATTACGACGAGCAATCTCCATTCCCTGGTGAGCCACATTTGTGGTGTTAGTCTCTACCCAAGGATTCTGGTGACGCCCAATTACAACACAAGGAGAATTACGCCACATAAGCAAGACATGATGATTGTTGAAATTAAAGTTGCGATACATCCAATCTTCCAAAGCAAGGTTGGTAAAAATGTCAGTCGACTGCGAGATGAAAACTGATTTTTGAATTGGATTTTTACTTTTCTCTTTATCAGTTGTTGAAGCTGATGAATAAGCTTTCGCTTGAGAGGTGGCTGGAGCAAAAGCATAAGCATTGCACCTGACCACATTGTTCAGAGACACTTGGGAGATTCTGAACATGTTCTGAGCCATTGCTTGGGCCATTTTTCCGTTCTTTTCTTTAAATGTAAGTAAGCAGTATTAGATCTAGTAGCAAATAAATGCTGTCTCAACAGTACTAGCAATACTTCACAAACGTAAGTATTCAGAACAAAACTTAAAATTATTACACTATTGAGAAATCAGTTCTGTTTATTTCTTTGGCAGAATAAGAAAGCTGGTTGGCTATTAAAAATAGTTCAATATGCCTCTGCTCAAATACCAACTTTCTAGGCGTCTTTTTCAGAAGAGATCATAGAGACCAGGTGATCGTGCAGACTCTGGGTCTGATGCAGCCACTTCCACGTCTGATGCAGGGTGCAAATACGGTACCTGATGCCCAGACAGTCGCGACAGTCCTTTCGCATCCCTCCGTGTGCTTTCACTTTGAAGAAAAAACGACCGACAGTTCAAAAAACGAAGCGGGCTTCGTGTAGAAGCACAATTTGAGTAAGCGTCAGTGTCCACGAGTGCGAGTCAAACTCGGAATCACAAACACCACTAAATGCACCGGACGCGTCGCGCGTCACAACTTAAATGTCGACGCAGGAGCTTTCCTTGCCGATCACAACATAAGCAGACCACAAGTAAAGCACGAAGCCCTACAGCCTCCATTTATATATCGTCCACCGAAGGTTGAGGTTAACGACATGCCCCACTAGACAGAGCGTGATAGGCAGTATGCGATTCACAAAGCGATAGAATGCTCTCCGACCCTACTGGAGAGGGCAGCACCAGGCACGCGCAGCAAAACACGTTACGTAACCGTGTAAAAATAATTTTCTAGCTTGCTACACGAGAAGATCCACTTCCTGCTCCTCCCGAAACAATCCAAAAAAAGAAGCTTGTCACTTTCGACATCCTTTAGAGATCTACCTGAAAACCATAGCAATATTAACAGTCTATTAAAAAAATAGAATTGATCTTAATTGTTCATAACATCGAATCGTATATATCTTCTAACATTTTTTTTTTAATTCAGATATTAGTGGCATGTAATAATTTATCTGTATGATAAAACCTGTTCTAATATTGATGGAACCTGTGAAACAAAGAAAACTGATTATCAAAATGTACAATTTAATTCTATCCGTATTTACCGTTCATCTTGCTACCAATGTAAATAAATTGTTTCTGATTTTCTCTTTCTTATTTAAATTTATTTTTCACTATAAAAAATCAAAAAAATCGTTTAACATTCATTGCATGATATCACTATAGTAATACAGCTACTTAACAGATAAAATGCATGGGTCAAATTTTGAGAATTGCACTCCTAAATTACAAAAATGCATTGAAAATCCAAATGAAACTTCTAAGAAAAATCATTATTATATCACTTATTGATTGTCTATTTAGTTATTATTTATTTTTCACACCTTTTAATTAGAGACAATCATTGGATAGATTAAATCTGAAATTCATCACTTGAAAATATATATATTTGATTTCCATTAAAATGTTTTTGCTACATGTACTTCGTTTTGTAATATTCACTTCCACAGGTACATTTCTGTAAACAGTCAAGTTTATTTAAATTAAAATCAATTATACAACATGTTCAAAAAATAAAAATAAATTAAGATTGTGAAGGTGGTTTAAATTTAAGAAATGCAAAAAGTGAATCTAGATCTGGAATTTCCCACCAGGGACATGAGGTCAAAATTGGTTACTTGAACATACAGGGCATGGAAAAGAAACTGGCAGTAGTCAATGATTTTGCAATTGAAAATAATTATGATATTTTATGCTTAAGTGAGCACTGGTGCCTAAAAGAAGAAATAGTGTATAATAAGCTGGATGATTATCAGCTTGGAAACAATTTTAGTAGACAAGAGAACAAACATGGTGGAGTGGTGATTTATATTAAAAAAAATTTCACATGTACATTGTCAGTTTTAGATCTGAATTTCCTTTGAAATGAAATGGATTTTGAGGTAACAGGTATACTTATTGAACACAAAAAACTCATTATAGTAGCTCTTTACAGATCACCAAATGGAGATCCCACAGTTTTCCTTGAAAGACTGGAGGGGCTGTTAATATTTTTAAGTAAAAAGAAATGGAGACAATTTAGTATAGTGATAGGAGGTGATCTAAACT